AATGGATGTCCTGCCCGATGTACTATATTCCCACATAGCCCAGCCGTTAACGATTTGTCCGTCACGGACTGCGTGATTTCGCCACTTCATGTGGAATAATGACGTAGTTAATAGTCTATTAACTATTAACGTAGTTAATAGTCAACTAACTAACGGTTAGTTGACTATTAGGGGGCAGCTCTAAAATATACACAATACACACACATATAATGTAAACAAAAACTTTTATTTTGGATGCAGCGACACCTGCTGGATAGACGTGTCTAGAACCTTTGCATTCACAAAACCGGCGATCTGAAAAATGAACACAAGTCAACAGATAAAAATGGTCGTCTTTGTAATAGGCAACTAGGTAACCATTTAAGACGCAGAAAATGCTTCAAAATGCGCTTTGCATTTCGTACTGTATTATGGAGTTGAAGTGTATGTGAAGCTTTAGTACCTTTTTGATAAAGACACTGGACAGATTCTCCCAGGACACAATGCCATGATCCATGAGCTCCATGAAAGCAGTAAGAGTGTGTGTCATTATCAGAGGAGCCCTGCACAAAAAAACCCAAAACACTTTCACCGGTTTAATCTTAAATTTATACTGTAATAAAACACTCCAAACCATAGAGATGTGGCAAAGACAGGTGGGAAACTGACTCGTGAGCGTCCTCTACTATCTTGACGAGCAGGGAGTGTCCATCACGGCTGATAAACTCTTGAGCGAATGTGATGTCGGTGGAGACATCGGCCAGCAGCTTCAGAGAGTCACAGCGCACGCCGGAATTTAAAACAACCGTCGTCTATTTTAATATCTTTTGAAATGCAATTTATTTCTGTGATGGCAAATTTGAATCACACTTTCTTCTAATGGAAATGTTGTACTAGCAAAACAGTTCTCAAACACCAATGATTAGCCTTTAACTAATAAAGGGCGCTTATTTTACTTGCACTATTTTTAGAGTCGCAACAGACAGTGGCAGCAAAACCAAGAAATCATCAAAGAGACGAAACAAAAACCTCTCAACCTCTCACCTGTCTGTCTGCCTCGCCACCAGCCTGCAGCATCGCCATCAGCAGAGCCATGGCCTTAGTCTGCAGCTGCTGGTTTGTTCTACGGTACATTAGACAAAAGCAGAGAAAATTAAACATTTATGTTGATGTAGAATGCGGATTTAAAAATCCAACACATGCTAATCTTAAACGTGATAAATATCCACATGATGAGCTAAACCAGAAGGTATTTTCCAGAAAGAGGAAGAAACGTTTATTTGTGTGTTAAGCAGAAAAGAAGACAATGACGCCCTCTAGAAATAATTCTCTCTTGAAATGCACTTTGAATGTAATGCAACTGCTAAGCAATTTGATTGCAATGATAATACTATATAACAACAATAGTTGTTGATGTTATTAATTTGCGAAATTAACTATAAAAATTTACCATTATTGTTGTAGTTTTCATTATAATTCAATTTACGGTTGATATATGCTGTATATCAGTACTGAAAGCAATGAGAACCGTTATTAAACATCTACTACTGAAACTGTATGCTAGTCACTGTTTTCAAACCCTAACGTAGGATCATCATTGTCATCTACTGTCATTACTGTGGTGTATGTCACACCCTCAACTATTGTAGTTCCTCTTCCACACCCATAAAGTAAACACTGGTAATACTGCAAACAGTTAAAGCAAGAGCTCTTCTGTACTTACACCTGCAGATGGGAAATGAGTCTCTCCAGGGTGATTTCTTGTTTGACCTCATTAAACAGACTACTGCTGCTGAGCACCATGCTCTCCAGAATAGCCAGCGACACCTGCTGGATAGACGTGTCTAGAACCTTTGCATTCACAAAACCGGCGATCTGAAAAATGAACACAAGTCAACAGATAAAAATGGTCGTCTTTGTAATAGGCAACTAGGTAACCATTTAAGACGCAGAAAATGCTTCAAAATGCGCTTTGCATTTCGTACTGTATTATGGAGTTGAAGTGTATGTGAAGCTTTAGTACCTTTTTGATAAAGACACTGGACAGATTCTCCCAGGACACAATGCCATGATCCATGAGCTCCATGAAAGCAGTAAGAGTGTGTGTCATTATCAGAGGAGCCCTGCACAAAAAAAACCAAAACACTTTCACCGGTTTAATCTTAAATTTATACTGTAATAAAACACTCCAAACCACAGAAATGTGGCAAAGACAGGTGGGAAACTGACTCGTGAGCGTCCTCTACTATCTTGACTAGCAGGGAGTGTCCATCACGGCTGATAAACTCTTGAGCGAATGTGATGTCGGTGGAGACATCGGCCAGCAGCTTCAGAGAGTCACAGCGCACGCCGGAGTCTGAACTCTGAATGCCTTTATACAGATCTTCAGCACAACGGCCCTGACAAACACAGTCTTATAAATCACCGAGCAAGAAAACATGGCCATTACACGCTACTGTGGTTGTGTACATTTGAATCTAACACAAAGACTGAGTGAACAGATGTGTTTAGATACACTATGTAAGTTAAGCACTGTCACTGTCAAACTCTGGCTGCAAAATGACCATTTTGGGCGCATGAGGTTGTGTGACACTCACTGGTGCTTTGGTTAAACGCAGGATGCTGCCGTTTTTGATGTCTAGGCGGTTCTAAAACAAAAGTCAAAAAGCAGCCAACAGTCAGTGTACAGGAAGTGATACTGTTATTATTAGACATCATTATCATTGGCACAAATGTGTGCAATAAAGAGACAGACAAACACAGCACGAAACCAAAAAACCCAGAGAGACATATAGAAAGATAGATACAGATAAAGGCAGACAGAAAGAAGAAAGAAAGAAAGCTATAAAGAAAAAAGAAATGAAAAGAAAAGAGAAAGAATGAAAAGAAAAAAGAAAAGAAAAGAAAAACAGCTAAAAAGAAAAAAAGAAAGAAAGAAAGACAGCTATAAAGGAAGAAAGAGCTAAAAAGAAAGAAAGAAAGCTAGAAAGAAAGAAAGACAGCTATAAAGAAAGAAAGAGAGAAAGAAAGACAGCTAAAAAGAAAGAAAGAAAACTATAAAGACAGCTATAAAGAAAGAAAGAGCTAAAAAGAAAGAAAGAAAGAAAGAAAGAAAAAGAAAACTATAAAGACAGCTATAAAGAAAGAAAAAGTTATAAAGAAAGAAAGACAGCTAAAAAGAAAGAGACAGAAAGCTATAAAGAAAGAAAAACAGCTATAAAGAAAGAAAGAAAGACAGACAGCTAGAAAGAAAGAAAGAAAGAAAGAAAAAGAAAACTATAAAGACAGCTAAAAAGAAAGAAAGAAAAAAAAGAAGAAAGAGAAAAAAAGAAAACTATAAAGAAAGACAGCTAGAAAGAGAGAAAGAAAGCTAGAAAGAAAGAAAGACCGCTAGAAAGAAAGACAGACAGCTAGAAAGAAAGAAAGAAAGAAAGAAAGGTCTTTAGTGTTGATTAAATATGGCAGAGGATTCACGTTGTGTAGTTTTGTCTATAGTGTTGCATCATTATTCCAGTTTATTTTCAAACTCTCAGAGTGAGCTTCTGGAAACCTGCTCCAGATGCTGCTTGATGACATTTGAAGGGCTCTACGTAGGGTGTCCAAAAGCCCATTTGGGATGCAGCCCAAGGCTTGGTGGTTTATGTGCACAACTGTAATTCAAGCCTTTGCCTCTACTTGTCTGGGAACGCACAATCTCCACACTCTCACTTCATTCACACGCACATCTGATGATACAGATACATCATATTACACACTTTCAGCAGCTCTCAGTCACATCCCCACCATACAGACAGACAAACACAACATCAAGTCCATGTCTGACCCCACCCAAGATCAACAACAAATATTATACACTGTCAGATAAGCACAGATTACTGGATTCAAGTCACCACACAGACACTAACAAGCTCATACACAAAGTTATACACTCAAGAATGTGGAAATGACCTACAGATTCAGTGATGTACGTCTGGATCCCATCTGCATATTGCAGAGCATAGTTGTCAGGACCTGGAAGATTCCACCTTCAAAAATAATACAACACCCTTTACAAAAACAGCTATTTTACATCAGAGAAAAATATACATGGATGTTTCAGCAATAGAAAAACACAAACACCTCAAAAAACACACTTACTTGTCGCAAACCTCTTTTATGACAGCAGTGAGGGGCTTTTTCTGAAATAAGAGAAAATTATGAAATGTGTTAAGTGTACACAAGCTAACAAAATAAAATGTGAGCAAGGGTCAATGAGGTGATGCTAATTTTTTTGTCTGGATCTATTCACAAAATACATTAAAAATGCAATTCATACATACAATGACTTGAATACACCTGCTTTATGATGAGTATGTTTTTAATTTCTGAATTAAATGTCATTGATTTTTTTTCTAGGTTTTTTATATTGATTTTTTTAATAAGGAAAACTGTTTTGTAACCTAAAATGAAAATATTATAAATTGTTTTAGGTAAATTAAAATAAAGCTAAAATAAAACAAATATTAGATAAAGAACAAACTTAAACAAAAATGTGAAATACTGACTTAGCAGCTAAATGAAATAAAGTACTAAAACGACTTATACTAAAACAAAATGAAATTTTAGCTAAATAGAAATAAAAAAAATTAAAAAATAACGAATGATGAGCACATAACTAATTACTAAATATTTAACTAAAATTGAAATGAAAACCGAAATGATAAAAATAAAAGCTAATTCAAAATATTAATAAATACTTTAACAGTATATGCAAAAAAAAAAAAGCATATTAAGAAGATTAAATTCTTGAAAACAAAATCCTATTAAGTTGTTTTAACATATTAGTTTATTATTATTTCCCATAGGGAAAACTCATATTTTAACAAAACCATTTCACTATTTATTAAATTTATTATACAAATGACAAAACAGGAAAAGACATTGGGCCGATGATGTGTGGGTCAATACGTTTCTTACAACTCTTTTAATTCAAGGTGTAAAATGTCATGTGTGGCGTGGCTCCCCAAAACCTATTGATATTTATATATTATTAATATATTTCATATTAACTCAATTATTCATTCAAATTAAACATTACAAAATAATGATTAAGATGTGTACGCTCACTCATTCATCTTAAAGCATTTAAACCAAAACAAAACAAGTGACAAAACAGGAAGGGAAAAGTTCTCCCAAGTCAACATCTGAAATATCTCATAATTTGTGGCAGCTCCTGCGGCTCACCAATCAGAAATTTTGGTGTTCCGCGGTAGACCAATCAGTGGCCTATAATTTGTGGTGCAGAGGCTGGCAGCGAGTGGAAGCGTTTGGGATGGTGAGGAAGTACAGAAGGTAAGGTCATCGGGGGTTTGAGGTTCTTTCTAACTAATCCTTAAGTACCAGACAGGTTCATTCATATTTCAGACCAGTTATCTCATGGTTTTGAAAACCCAAAGGAGAGCTTCTCTAACAATGGCAGGTCTTTAAGACAATAACACATTCTGTTAGGACGTCCCAAACAATAGGATCAAAGCCTCTGAAGATAGCGAATACGCTCAGCATTTGTCCACCCTATTGTTTCAAGTGAGTAGACCCCCATATGAGCGCATTCAAAACAACTGAGAATGACCTAATTGGTGATGATTTGTAAGAAGTCTGATCATCAGATAAAATTTTAATTACAAAAAATTTTAATTAACGGTCTTAATTTGTGTGACTGAGCTGACAAAATTTTGACAGACCATTTAAAAAAAACATGCAAATAAAAATTACACAGCTATATTTATGCAAGAAACCTTTCTCGATCCC